TAGAAGTAGAAGTAGAAGTGGAAGCAGTTGTAGTAGTAGTCGTCGTCGTAGCAGCAACAGCAGCAGTTGTAGCAGCTGTAGCAGTAGCAGTAGCAGTAGCAGTAGCAGTAGCAGTAGCAGTAGCAGTAGCAGAGTAGCAGTGGCAGTAACAGTAGCAGTAGCAGTGGCAGTAGCAGTAGCAGTAGCAGTGGCAGTAGCAGTAGCAGTAGCAGGAGTAGTAGTAGTAGTAGTAGTAGTAGTAGTAGTAGTAGTAGTAGTAGTAGTAGTTTTAAGTAGTCGTCGTTGTCGTCGTCGTCGTAGTTGCAGTTGCAGTTGCAGTTGCAGTTGCAGTTGTAGTCGCAGTCGCAGTCGCAGTCGCAGTCGCAGTCGCAGTCGCAGTCGCAGTCCTAGCAGTAGTGACTAGTACTAAGCAGTCGTCGTAGTAATCGTGGTAGCGGGTAGTAGTGGGTTTAGTAGTAGTGGTAGTAGCAGTCGTGGTCCTAGTGGTCGTCATCGTCCTGGTAAGAGTGGTAGTGGGAGTGGAACTCCAACAAGCAGCTGGGGTAGCTAGCAGCAGCAGCGGCAGGAGGAGGAGGAGAAGGAGGAGGAGGAAGAGTAGTTTTGTTGTGGTCGTCGTCGCCGTCGTCGGAGTACGGCAGAAGCGTTGCAGTAGCAGTAGCGGTAGCTGTGGCACTGTGGGGTTCCTGCCGCACCAGTAGCAGTGGCAGTGGCATTGGCCGTAGCTGTAGCCGTAGCCGTAGCCGTAGGCAGCCGTAGCAGTAGTCGTTGCAGTAGCAGCAGTAGGAGTAGGAGGAGTTCCTAGTAGGAGTATGAGTAGGAGTCGCGGTCGCTGTCGCTGTCTCAGCCGTAGCAGGAACGAAGCAGGAGCAGCAGCAGGAGAAACAGGAGAAACAGGAGAAGCAGGAGCAGGAGGAGCAGGAGGAGCAGGAGGAGCAGGAGGAGCAGGAGGAGCAGGAGGAGCAGGAGGCAGGAGGAGCAAGGAGCAGGAGGAGCAGAGGAGCAGGAGGAGCAGGAGGAGGACTAGTAGTAGTAGTAGTAGTAGTAGTAGTAGTAGTAGGAGGAGTAGGAGTCGGAGTCGGAGTCGGAGTCGGAGTCGGAGTCGGAGTCGGAGTCGGAGTCGGAGTCGGAGGAGGAGGAGTAGGAGTAGGAGTAGGAGTAGAAGTAGGAGTAGGAGTAGGAGTAGGAGTAGGAGTAGGAGTAGGAGTAGGAGTAGGAGTAGGAGTAGGAGTAGGAGTACGAGTAGTAATAGTCGTGGTGGTGGTGGCAGTAGTAGTGGTCGTCGTAGTAGTAGTAGCTGTCGTAGCAGTAGTATAGTAGTAGTAGCAGTGGTAGTAGTAGTAGTAGTAGTAGCAGCAGTAGCAGTAGCAGTAGTAGTAGTAGTAGTAGTAGTAGTAGTAGTAGCAGGAGTAGTAGGAGCAACAGGGGTGGCAGTTTCAGTCGCAGTGGCTGTGGCAGTGGTTGTGGGGTGGTCGCGATGGCAGTGGTAGCGGCGACAGTCGTCACTGCTTCGATGATGATGGTCAGTGTTGTCACCTTTAGCATCCAGCTTCATCTGCGGACCTACTTACTTGCCGTGGATGTGTGAGGTCTTTCCGAAGCAGCTGCGTCGGCCCCACCGACCAGAATCTGCGCAGGCACCTTACCAGAGTTTTCTGTGAGACTACCCGAAACTGCCTTGTTGTTAGAAAGTTGGCAAGGAAATGAAGGGTGCCTTGATGGGTTGCATTGGGAACATCTGCAGGCTTTCTTCTGCTCGGGGTAGACGGGGTACCAATGGTCTTTCCTCAAATGGCCTGGTCCTGAAAGCCAGCTTTGAGCTTTGACTCTGATGTGGAGCCAAACACTAGGCGCTGAAAAACGTGCAAAGCTGGATGCCAGGATCAGTTGCGCCTTTCGCCGGAGGAAGCAGAGGACCACTCGTCGGACTGTGCTGCAACAGATCGAGGCATTCCGCAGCATCTGCTGCTCATGTGATTTATCTGACGTATAGTATGTGCGTTGGCCCCTTGACTCCGGCCTGCCTGCCTCCACTTACTCAAGACAAGCAGCAAGAGCTGGGCCTGCGGGACGGCACGGAGCGACATCAGAAGCTCCTGGTTCCCCCCCACAGCATGCAGGAGCTGGAAGCCAAAGTGCACACACCGATGCTGCCACTCGTTTTTGCGAAGATTGGCAGACGACTGTTGGTAAACATGACAAAGCACACGTGCCGAAGCCGAGGTACTTGCCTTTCGGTGGTGAAGCTGCCAAGGAGGTTGAGCAACGTCTCCGGAGTGCCAGTGTCTTGGTACTCGTGCCAATGTTCGCGAGCGGCTAGTGCTCTCCCCGGTTCGGCGAGTCGCCGAATGTCGCCGAGGCCCCGGCGGCGGGCGGCGGGGCAGCTGCAGTACGGGGCGCTCGTCCGCGGAGTGCAGCACGGGCTTCGGAGGCCATGACAAGCTAAGGGGTGAAGGAGCAGCAGAGCGTTCTTCAAGCTCTTGCACAGGCTTCGCGTCCCGGCACGGCACCCGCTGGCAGTGTAACAGCCAGGAGCTCAGCTTACAGGATTCGAGGTGAAGCCAGTGCCACGCATACATCAAAGAAGGCATTGGCCAGCAAGCGGTGGCTTTAGCTTCAGGGCTTCAGGTAGCCGGCCGTTCTTAAACAGCATTTGGCTGTGAGCAGGTACAAGTTGAGGCCCCAGTTTAGCTGAACAGTCACGACCATGTCCCGCGTTGCTGGCATCGTGTGCGCTGCCTCCCTGGCCCTCTATGGTGCCAGCTGCTTCATCGTGCCTACCACTCTGCCCAAGGGCGCACCTCTGACGGAGTCGGGCGCAGTGGTGGGACAGCCAAGCGCCATCAACGGCACTCCCGAGTCAGCCTCCTGGAGCCCGCTCGCTGTCGGTGCAGCCTTGGGTCTTTTGATCGCCGTGGCCACTGGCCGACCCGCTCTCGCCGCGGACTTGGAGAATGGTGAGGCCATCTTCAACGGCAACTGCACTGCCTGCCACGCCGGCGGAAACAACTCCATTGTGGCAGAAAAGAAGCTTAAGAAGGAGATGTGAGTAGCTTGCAGGGTAGACCTATGCAAGCTTCAGCAGACTTGTATTGCAGGAAGCTCTTGTCCAGTACGGCAAGTATGACGTCCAGGCCATCATCACCCAGGCCACGGGAGCGTTTTTGTGGATGTGTCCCATGCGGTCCAGATGCATGATTGCTTGAAAGTTCTTAAGGCCCCAAGCTTAGGACACATGTTCAATATGTCGAGCAGAGAGGTGACCAACGGCAACGGTGCCATGCCTGCTTTCGGCGAGAAGCTGGGACCCGATGACATCGAGGCGGGCTTGCAAGTGCAGGGGTGGACATGACAAGATCTTTTCGAATCTAGATCCGATTACTGTTGGACGGCCTTTCTGGTATGCGTTGGTTCATCCAGCAGGACGTGGCCAACTACGTCTACGGCAAGGC